ATCACGTTGATTTTTTTCACTGAACTGTGATCCCTTCTCGATGTTGACGTGTCAACTACTTGTATGAACACTTCTTCAATGGTTTGAGGTTAATAAGATGTGATTCCGTTGATGGTTGCAGGCAGACTGATCGACTATTATTAGAAAAATTAAATATTTTCAGCACAAGAGGTGCATCTCTTAGTTTCTTATCCGAATGGAAATGTTTGAAACTAAAGGTGTTAGGTTTGGGCCTCAGTGGAAACATCACCATCCGTTAATGAACAGATACATCCAGCTGGTGATCCACATGAAGTGGATTTTACTGTCAGTTACCATCTAACAAACTGCGTTTCGACTTTCAAATCAGTCACACAAAAATTTATGTGATTAATCATTTGAAAGAATTACATTTCTGAATTTATTGTTTCTTCCAGAAAGTCAGGATCATATCAACATTCATTTTAAGCCAGAAGGTTAAAATGCGGCAGAATGTCCAGAAATAAGAGGAGATAAAAATTCTTACTGCTATAAGGTTTATGGCTTATTGTGTATTTTAATTCGAAACGTGAACTGAGTACACAATTCAATGACGGTCATGAAAATTGGACAGATTTACAAGACGTGGCTTTAGAAACTAAAGACAAAGAAATAGGTACTGCAAAACAGCTGATAGGGAAATTTACGATCGGGTACAGGTTTCCGCCAAGCTGCAAAGAAATTTATCAAAAGACAGTCGTCGAAATGTACGCGAAGCTTACTCGATATGCCAAATAATCATCGCATGAACCATATATTTATATATCAAAGCGTCCTGCCACATGAGCAATACGAAATGTTCAAGAACAATATCGAACAACAATTTTCATGTAAATTCATCCAACAAGAGCAAAATAAGCACCGAAACCACGTCAACTGCGTTTGCCCGGACGACTAGCTCCAACTCAAATCAACTAAACTGCGCAAATGCCGTCAAAGTAAAGGTGGAGGCGCCACTTCAAATATAAGATATGCCATTAAATCACCCTAAAAGTGAAGCTTTTAGGGTGTGAAATCCTTTGACTTTCAGTGAACAGTCATTTCATGTAACCTATTCATGTAGGGTGTGAGCAGTAGCAGTAACCATATTGATTGAATCACCTTCCTATGTGTTTTCGAATGTCTGAAGCAATCTCACTTTTCTTCTGATTAACGGAATGTCTGACAGGTAGTTCTCTACGATTACGGGACCATGGTCTACGGATTTCTGCCAGTCTACCTTCAATCGTCTAGAACAGATTGATCCGAATAAATCCCGATTTCCTGTGATAATGTAACTGATCTCTTTGCGAAATATATAAACTATGTAAATCAGATCATCTTCATCCTTCATGATTCAATTTTGAATGGTCTGCAGGCCGTAAGACATTCGAAATTTATGTCTAGGAGAATCCTTTGACATTCCTGTACCCATAAATTTTAGGTGTAAAAGCATATAGGAATCTATTTACGAGTTTAAAATTGAAAAGATATGCTGAAAAATGTACACAATTCAAAATCCTTAGATGTATTTATACATATAAGCATATATATATATGTATCAGTTGGTGAACCAAGTAATCCAGTTAGAATCTAATTGGCCGTGACTGTCAATGGAATTCAAAAAGCACATTGAATCACATTTCGGATTTTTAACCAAGTGTACCTGTTATTCAGGGAGTAGTGACTTTTTCACTGGGTTTCGAACCCAGCTCTAAACTTCCCGAAGTCGAGGCATCACTCACTAGTTTGCTTATGTGAAAAAGTCACTTCTCATGACACAAATTTAAGTCGCTAGTCACAGATAACAGACCTAGATAGCCTCATGATGTGACCACAGAATCTGTATCAAGCTCCAGCGTATTACTATAGACCAGTTATTTCGGCTTTGTGCAAATTATTCGATAGGTGATTCAAGAAAAGCTGTTCCGCCATCAGTTAATTTTACAGCGACCTACTTTACATCTGAAAGTTAGAAGCGAAACATCTTTAGCGCCCCGACTATCCTAATACTTGCCTTTCGTGAACCGAATGAACTCTTCTCTTGGCCTTTTCTTCGATTGTGCCTCAAAATGGCAAAAAATTAGGTGATAAGAATAATTCACTTGGAGTGTCACAAACTATTAACATATCATTAACGAAATTTTTCTGCACACTGATGAGTGTGTCTGATTCCCCTCCCGCTTATACTGAATCCACTGCTTGCAGTAGCACATGTTGGCCAGGTTCTTGCTAGGGTTACTGTTTTGAGATCTAGCAGTGTGCAGAATTCTTAGTTCAGCCATTGTCTCCCAGCCCCCTCACACTACTACACAGACGACCGATAATCATTGTCTCCACCTCGCAGTGATTTGGGGTGGTTGACGAGGCGGAGGCTGCCCGTCGAGAAGTCAACGTTTTAACCAGCTGGCTGATTCCACTGACCTTCCACAAAGCCTGAGGTCGCCTCTTGTTGCCTCGAATATGTCCGCCAACCTTATCCTTCGCCTCATATCACTGTAGCATCACTGTAGCCTGTTACCCCTGTTAAGATAATGTGATAGCCAGTAGTAGCGGTGGGTCGACCGATGCAAGATGAATGCGACGAAAAAGCCCACAGATAGAAACTGTCCACATAATTACGAAGTGCCAACTGAGGTTACAACCATCCCCAGCGCTGTACACAATGCATGAGCTTCTTTCAAGTAGTGCCAGTGTCCAACACCGGAACACCGGGTATGAAAATAGGAGTGAAGGGTATAAGCTCTTGTGGGTGCCTCGCCACTTGCCTATATGTCCCCATACCTTCAGATTTCATTCGTATATTCAGCTTCCCTCAATAGCCAGCACCTGCGACAGTAATAATGCGTCCTCAACAACTTCAGTAGGTCTCATTATCACCCTTAACGGAAGCGGTTTATTATAAGGTGCCTGAAGGCCCCTGAATAGTCAAGTAGCTTTACAGACCTAGCGTACTCAAAAACGCCTTTTGTCCAAGCAGGCTGTTACCGCACACTGGTACGTTAAGGGAATGAGCCAGTTCGGTTGACTGACTCTGGACTAAAGTTTAGTTCCTTATCTTCCTTTCTGAGGTCATTAACCTTAGCCTGATGCGCGATGTGATTATTCAGTGCTACACTACCAAGATCACATTCCCTGGTTGGTGCAAGTGGTACTTTATTATTGCAGAGCTCCCTGGTGCCCACACCAAAGTATATACAGAGTTCCAAGAGAATAGTTCCTACTCGGTGCGGCTTCAAGTGGCTTTGGTTTCCGTGGATTTATACCCACAGTCAGTTGGGCTGCAGTATAAAGTTTACGTAGTCCGGCTAATTCTTGTGGTGTTCTACATGGGGAAAATAACAGCATGATAAATGGTGTATGCGTGCCAGGACCACTGGGATGGGTCGTTTTGTATAAAATCATAATATGTTGTCGGCATTCATTTGTCGAATTCTTAGTGCACCCTTCGCTTGAAAAGGTTGCACTTAAACGCCGACTCGCTTTTACAAACAACTGAACTACAAACCTAGCAGTCATCTTCTTTCTCAAAAGACTCCTTCGTTACTCTATGACGTCTCGAGCGTTTCGTTTTAGTCTTGTAGTGAGTGACACGTTTTTTTCCCATGGATACCAATGTTGCACCGCATCCACTGCGCAGTTTCATTATTGGACTGAGGCAATGTATGGCAGTTATCAGAATAGGGAATATGTGTTTATGTCCCAATAGTCTGTATGCGATTTATTTCCTCCCTTAGACGAAATCCGGCTGTAGTAACTCCTTTCTTAAGCCTAGATTTGACTATCATGTCGCCAATTATTACTCATTATGAATAGATTAAAGACAAAATCAATGGAAGTAATAATAGGGTTTTCGATCTTACTTAGAACTTAGAACGAAATATGAGTATGACAACACTTTGAGTTGAGTAATGTCATCATTAAAGAGAAGATATATGAACCTTTTGTGATAAGTTCGAATAAGGAGAGGAGAAGAAGTTACGCGCCTCAGACACAAACCATATGCCGAAAGTCACGAAATTTAAGCTTTTCACAGCTAAATGCGGCCAAATAAAGAGCAATTTAATGAACACGCATAAGACTGCTAAAGACTAGAACCATCTGAACGAATGTATACCGCCACTAGATATCTACCATGAGACTAACGAGAGATATAATTACAAGTTTCAAGATCGTAGGTGGTACAAACTTCTTGGAATAATTTGAGCGCCGAGTCAACTTGATGGTTACCTTATAAGTGGATGAAGAATCCAGTGTGATTCTGCTCCTTTTTGCTTCGCATTTTCTGTCCGTAAAATTGCTTACTAGCATCTGGGTCTAAAAAGCCCTTAAGGGGTAACCTTGACAACCACGCAAACAAACTATGCTCAACAGACTTTCTTATTAACCAAAGTGAAATCTTACCTCACTAGTCTCACTTTATGATTTAGTGCTCAAATAAACTCTCCCTTTGCTCCCTTGTAGTTTTCCTTGTGTCATTCTTCCGCCCAATTAATTCACCTTAGGTCAATTCACTTTGACCTTTAAGTATTACTGCTGATTATCCATCTTGTCAGGTTCGTTTTCCTATATAATTTACATATTTCCATGAGATATATGCTTATTGTCTAGTTTTCCAAAACTACAAGACGAGAATTAAAACGACTGGCTCCAGTCTATTGATTTAACACAAATCTTACTGAAAATTACAATAACCTACCCATCGTATTAGTCACCCCAGAGTCTAGCATTGCAGAGGCAAGTGAGTGATAGGATTAGCGGCATAGACCAGCGATATCAAAGAACCGTGGCCTCTCTACCAGAAAGTAAGAATGAAGAAATGAGTTCGGTTTACATTATATCGTAAACACTTTTAGATATTAAGTCAAACCTGAGCGATTTGTTATACTTCGTAAAATGTATGACCTTCACTGCACTCAAGGTTACAAAAAAACGTGCGAATTCAAGCGATGACGAATTACATTTGTGTAATTACTGCGTTTTTTTATTACGCTTTTTCTTAGCTTCTCAGAGATAGAATAATAAATGAAACGCATCTAGAAGGTAGTAAACTTAGCAATTTGGCAGAAAACAACCTCCAGCTTTTACACAGGCAAGTCATTTTAAATTCTTATATATATACATATACATATATATATATATATATATATATCAGATTTCACTAGTCCCCAGTTTTCTAATCTTAAGGATTCCCTAATTATTTTCGGATCATGCTAGGTGAACTGCATTGCTGTGACACTCTATCTTATTTCCTGCTTTCTACTGCAGCTAATCAAAGGATTATTTATAACGAATATAATCTCTGTTGAGTGCATTTTGATAGTTTATTTTCACAGTCATGAAACCCACTGCAATATATTTACAGAAATTACTTAGTTACTTTTATGTAGGAGAAAAAATTACTAAAATTTTCAAGATAATCAAAAAGTTAGAAGAATAGATGAATGAGGCTTTTCGGTAGATAACGCCATCGTTTTTATAAAACTTAGAGAAAGACTTTTAGTATGATTTGTTTGATACCATTAGCTGAAATTTTGAACGTACTATTCAGATTTCAGACTCAGATTCAGATTTATTAGTTGGGGATAGAAGGCTTGGAGCATATATTAATCATTTTATGGTAAATTTCTGTGGTTTTCCAAACCCTTCTTGCACGAATCAGTTAAGGTTGCAGACTCCACTTCTCCTGGAAGTCGGCTCCAAGAGTTTATGACTCGATTTGAGAACCATTACTCAGCAGCAATATGATTTCATCTTGGCTTTTGAACTCGCCTGCTATGTCCTCTAAGGTGTTCCGACCTAGTTGGAAGGAAAGAACAGAATATGTCAGGTCCGTAGTCATTATTTAAAATTTTAAACATTGTGCTTAAATCTCCTCTCTGCCTACGGTATGACAAGTAGAAGAGATTTGAATTGTCTAGTCTTTCCTCGTATGATAAGTTAGCTAAGCTGTGAACCATGCGTGTTGCCTTCCTTCGAACCCTTTCGAGGATGTGTGAGTCCCCTTTTATACAAGGACTGGCGGCCTGGATGCAGTTTTCCAGTCTTGACCTCACCAGAGATGTATATAAGGAGGTGAACATATCTCTGGTGATTTTAGCAAAGGCTCTGCGAATCGTCCATAAGGACCTGAAACTGCGTGCAGCCCCCGCGTTACATTGTGCTGTAGTTTGTTAAGTCGTGGCTAACTATGACACCTAAGTTCAGGTGAGTCTGAACAGATGGAAGTGTTATTCCCTCTAGCTCGTAGGAGCTCGTGCTTGCTTATCCAATCAGCATGGTTGCACATTACGCCACATTTATCGGGAGCATCCATTCTATGGACCACTCTGACAATTTGTTGAGGTCCTCTTGCAACGTGGACGTATCACCGTTTCCCTTCAGCTCTCTCTAAATTTTTAAGTCATTTGCGTATAGGACCATAGGTGAGTCGGTGAGCACAGATAACTCATTGATATACAAAATAAATAGGAGAGTTCCGAGTACCGTGCCTTGTGGCACTCCGCTACGTACTGCTGTCCAAGATGAGAGTTTCGAGTTGATCCTAACCCCCTGCCTCCTATCTATGAGGAATCCCCTGAGCCAGTTTAGAAATCTGCCCTTGATACCACGACTTTCTACCTTCATGAGTAGTCTTTTGTGAGGTACTTTATCAAAGGCTCTGTTGAAGTCTATGAAGACGACGTCAACAGGTCTTCTGTTGTCCCTTGATTTGATGCAGCTTTCTCTTGCAGTGAGAAAATTTGACAGGAATGAGGGGTTCCTCCGGAAGCCATGCTGCGCTCTAGATAACAAGCTGCTGTTTTCCAGATATGCCATGATGCTTTTCTTGATGATTCTTTCCAGTGTCCTGATTAAAGTGCTGGTGAGACTGATAGGCCTGTAATTTGAAGGGTTTTGTCTTGATTCCCGTTTATGGATGGAGGACACTATGGAGTCTTTGCAGTCACGCGGTAACACTCCGTTTAGGAGAGATAGCTTGAAGACCGTGGTCAAGGGCCCGGCTATGTGAGCCGATAGCTCCTTGAGAAGCCTTGGATGAAGATTATCAGGACCCTGCGTCTAGTTTCATTAGGCAGTTGAGCACGATGCCTTGGTCGATGTTAATGGAATCTATCCCGTGTTCCTTTGATGCAGCCAGAACTGATCCTATATGGAGTGATGATTCCTGAGTGAAGACTTGGGAGAAGTAGTCTGCCATTGCTTCTGCTTTTTCTTGATCTTCTTCGATTGTATCATTGTCAATAGTAAGGTTTGCGACACCATTGGATGTTTTATTCCTGAAGTTCATGTAGGAGAAAATTTTCTTAGGTTGTCTTTGCATTTTGAGCCAGATGTGCCTCGAACTTCATCCTTGATTGGCGGATTTCTGCAATATCTTTATTTCTAGCAGTGTCAGATAATTTCCTGGTCTCAGAAGCCCTAATTGTGGCAAATAGGTTCCAACATTTGTGTTTACGCCTGAGTAACTTACGAATCTCTTGGTTTATCAGAGGGGGGCAATGTTTCCAACCTTTTGGGACAGACAAAGGGATAAAAGGTTCAGTTACTTGGGCGTAAAGTTGTTTAAATTGGTTCCATGTGGCTTCTACTTGGGACTCTGGGTTGATGTACCAGTTCCCTGGGTTGGCTGCTGAGACGGTCGCATTTATATCAGCTTTCCAAACGTTTCGTCGAGCTGGTATTTCGGCCGTTGCTGTCAACTTGCAAGTGGGCACAGCATGATCGCTTCTTTCTAAAGGAGGAAGATGTTGTATGAGATCCACATCCTCACCGTAGCAGAACACTAAGTTCAGAGTTCAGGAGGAGTGCTGTGAGTCATAGCGTGTGGGCTTAATGGTGTTTTGGACTAGGACTAGCGATATACTGGATTCCAGCAGTTTATGATCAAAGGAGTTTACTGAAGATGGAGTTGTAAGGCTCGTCCAGTCAAATGTTGGGGCGTTGAAGTCGCCGACTACGAGACTTCGACATTTCGAAGTCCAGGAGCCTAGCTTCTCTATTAGGAAGTCATCTGTACTACAGTCAGGACTGCAATACATAGCAATGAGGCCAATGTCTTGGCCTATGTATTTAAGTCTGCAGCGTAGAAGTTCGCACGACTCACTTACGTAAGCGAGTGCTTTGATGCTACGCACGATTAAGCATTTCTTGAGGTAGATGACTACGCCACCTCCCTTGCGGTTTAGTCGGTACACCCTATGCACTTCGAAGTTTGGCAGGTTAACTTCGCTGTCAGTGACATCGGGTGTAAGCCATGTCTCTGTGATGATAATTACATCCGGGTTTCTGGACTCTACCATTTTAAGCAGCCCAGTCCGTTTGTACAACAGGCTGTGGGCGTTTGTGTAGCAAACTGTTAATTCAGTTTGGTGCTTCTGCGGCCCATCCACAGAGGTTTCGAGATCATTAAACTGGGAACTCAGACAACCAGTAAACCCCTAATCTTAAGGTTCTTTTTGCCCCGTCCGCTTAATTCTAGGGCCGCAGACTATCTTTTGACACGGTCTGCTAGGATTAAGTCGGCGCGGACATATATGCCTGATCCTTTAAGAACTTGACAGTTGCTTAGAATAGCGTCCCTCTCTTCTTTCGAGTTTAGTATGACTTTAAGGAGGCGTACAGGCTGATTTATTGTAGGGTCAGGCTTTTGGCTGATTCTATATACACTGTGTATTCTGATGCCTGATACTATTTGTGGCAGTAGCTTGTCTAAAAGAAGCTTGGCCAAGTTAAGGTCATGCTCGAATCTGGCCTTGGGATCGGGGGTCAATCACTCTTCCACTTTGTGGAGAATGAGCGACCTGTCAGAGATTTCAGGTTTGCTTGCCATGGCTTTCTTCCTCTGCAGCGTAAGTGTCTTTCTGTCCTTTATGGGCAGTGTAGCCGACGTGTTATCCTTATCTCGCTTTTTTTCGAGAGACTACATTACGCCATTCATTGGCTAATCGTAGTAGGATTTATCTGCCTGCTACTCACCGGTGTGGATGAGGCTTGATCTACCAGTCCCTGGGCGACTTGAGCTGCAGGTTTCCGAACCCTGGTTCGCCTCTTCTTCGTGACAGTCCTTCCATTACTTTCATTATAGGGCTTATCCAGTATCTTGGGGGCAGCGTGGGTGTCTGGAATATGATGGGTGCTCTTCTGTGCTGAAGGGCACTCACTCGCTGACAGAGTCGCAACGGAGACATGTGCTGTTTTGTTGATGACGCTAGTCACGTCATCGTTGTCTGAGCAATAGTCGATCCTCTCCTGCGGTGGAAGACCCTTGCAGTTCATGAGCTTTAAAGCCCCACTGACAGTGGCAATGGCTTTTCTTATATGCAATTTAGTTGTACTACAGCAGTTTTCGCACAACCAGTTTGCTAGAGGTTTGCAGCAGCGTTTGTATGCTGCAGGAGTTACGTTTGTGCACATGCTATGAAACCATCTCTTGCAATTATCACATTGCATTCCCTCATCCACTAGAAATTGGCACATAACCCTTCCGCAGCGGTTTCTTTTGATCGGCACGTTTTTTAGAGCAGACTGGGGAAAAACAATTTAAATATTACTTTATATGTACATAACCTTTATAAATCAGTGATAAAAAGCCAATGAGTGCACAAATATATATATATATATATATATATATAATTATTAGGTTATAAGAACACAACTTCCTATCATTTAACAGACTCATATCTGAAACGTAAACTAACTTCGATCAGAATAAACTTATTTAAAGTTAATCTGTAGACTTTTGGAGCGTATAACACAAAAAAGCCAAAACTAAACAAGAGTGTGTAAAATTCACTCCATTTCAGAGTTCGCGCGGTATATATATATATATATATATGTATTGACGTACTAACAAAGTTACAAAACTCATCAGAAGTTTCCCTTACGTTTGGTAACTGCTCTCAGTAAACTAAAAGTTTGCTAGCATCATTCGCTCAAATTATCATTAAATGGTAGTCCATCACAAGTGCACATAAGTGTATTTTCAGGAACTTGTGAAAATGTCATCATTCTTACCTAGAAATGCTAGTAATTCTTCATATGATAATCACAAGCAACACGCTTGTTTCTTTAGCTACTTTCATGTGTATATTTAATAGTGGGTAGCAACATATATGACAGTTTCTAATTTTCTAACTGTAGGTAATATGATATATGAGCCAATATGGAAATCGATTTCAGGTAGATTGTTGCTCCTGATTCCGGTATATCTGTTAATTTCAGTTATAGATAGATAAAAAATTTTACCTCCAGCTCTCTGTGCTAACTAACTTTGCTGTTGTACAAAAAATGTAGAGCACATAAAACTAAATGCAGTCACTTAACAGTTTAATTTCTTTGATTCTTTGAATCGGTCCTTCAGTCATATAGTTTGCAGTTTACATTTGACATTATAGCCGTGGTAAGACAATACTGGGACAAAGGTGATCTTTCCGTGGACAAAAATGTACTGCAAGTGGTTTTTGTGAATTTCATTATGGGACTAAACTCACTCAGCCAGAAATGGACGAAGAATAGTTAAAATAGGCCCCATTGTAATTACAGGCGAATCCTGGTTAAATAATGATCAGAATGGGAAATTGTCACTTAAATAGTAGTTGATATTTTAAATCACTGGTTAAATAATGGAAAAATATTGATTAGATTTAGTCAGAAAATGCTAAAATTAGGAAACATTATCCTGTATGACCGCAATTCGCCCATTGCTTCTTATTATTGGCTATGTCTATTATTTGTGCATTATTAACCAATATTTTACCACTTTAGTCCGACTGGGAACTAAATTCCTATAGGGTATTATACGAAACGAAAACGTATTCTTGACACAAATATTTTTGACACAGCAAAATTTTTTCCCTAAAAACCCCTTAAATGCTTCAATTTGCCATATCGATGAAGCAAATATGATATCTGTCACCTTTGTAGGTAACTTAGAATATATTTGTCAGTCGATTTACATTCTATGACTACCTAACGGATAAATAACATATGTAAAATTTGGGCCAAAATTACTGAACATTCAGTGTTTCAATATACCCCTTCAAAACAGATAGAAGAGCTGGAAATTTAATACGAATAATCCCTTAGCATCGTAAATAAACAACTTAGGGACTTTGATTAACCTGTCAGCTCTTTGGGATTTTGAGAAAATCAGTCTTAATGGACTAGAATAAAGATGTACGTGGATTTTTATGAATATGGCTATGTGTTTTAGAGATTATTTAAACACTTAATGGCTGCAGAATACTGTTCTAGTAGTTATCGGTAATTATGTCTCGTTGGAATATTGGGATAAAAGTGGTTAACAGTGACAAACGCTCTGCTTTTTCATGATTAAAATAATCTGTGATGAATCGCTAGTATATCACAATGGGTTGTCAAACAAGCCGTTGACACATAATGCGCACAGGTGTACAATCAAATCACTTACAGCACTGAGTGCTAGTACTTTTCACGATATATTTTCAATGAATGTGTATGTTACTGCTATTTACGTATAATAAAATCCCATACTAGGAGGAAATAACTGTCCAGTACTCCCAGGTTTTCCAATGGTTCTCTAACCGACTTCAGTTCATAATGAACTCCTGTGACCAATCAAATCCAATCCCTGAGAACAAACACTTGAATAAAATCCGGATTTGTACGGCGAAATTGCCAATCTCAGGTTATTGAGCATGCAGTAGTTGTTCGATTCCGTATGTGATGGAAATCTTTTGAAAAAAAAATACTTAGGGTTGGCCAGTTGAAGGTGACAACATTCAGTGAAGTATTTTACCAGTAATATTTAATGGACAAAAATCATTTGTTTTCTCGGTGAAGTATGTGGAAAACCCAGAATATGTGGAAACGTACTTGACGTGGTACAATGAGGGATGGGGTGTATCATTTCAGAATACCTTTGACTCATTTTCAGTCAGACTATATTAACTGCAAATACAGGACCTTTAAATTATGTTAAGTAAATCAAAATATCACTTTTTATCATTAAATATTGTTTTCATCTTTAAAATACAGAATTAAGAATCTTGAAGAATCATTAAATCGCCTAAAGAACATTCAACCCACAGAAACAACACGGTACGAATTAGCTGGAAATTTCAGTGGAAGCAAAATACATGATAAAGTAAGTAAAAGATTCTCTTCATGAAGTTTTCCTGCATATTCACACTAGAAAAGTTTATTTCCATAGAGAGGCTTTCAGTGAGGTTTACGACCGGGATACTTTAAAACACTTACTTTACTACGAATTGAAACAGCAAACATTTATAGTAAAATCTATACACAGTTTTAATTAGTGATTCAAACTGTGAAACTTGTGTATATTCAAAGAAAAGGGATGCAAATTAATTATTTACTCTAAAGTCACTTATTGTACACTGTATATATAAACATACCTAAATTTCGAAAAATGAACCTCGTAAGGTAGTTGCTTATCAAACGAAATGAAGTAACAGAGGAGGTTTGTAGCTCAGAATAATGGTGACAATAGTTTGGTGTATTCTGAGCTCTAATATTTGAACCTGGACATTTCATCGTCACGTGTGGTGACATTTTCAACAGTAGCTTCACTAAGACTTCCATATCCACAACCAAATATTAAATTTTAGTGTACGCCAAATAATTTTCTGAATATTCTGTATTCCAGCTCAAAATGACTAATTTCCCATCAGTTCATTTTAACCTTACTAATTTTTAAGCAGTCACACTATTTCACCAATATTATCAACCGTAATTTACTCTTCAGGGTAAGCGACAGTAATTCATTGGGTTCTTACTAATTTCCAAACAATAAAATCGCCATATTTTTGATCTACTGTAAATCCTATTCTTAGAGGGGCAAACAGTGTACTTTACTGAAAAATCACCAATTACAACTAAACAGATTTTCGTAAAATATAAGCATAAAACTTGGGTACTTTGGTGGAGTATGGGCAAAATTTTATTTTAATAAAATCACACAGTGTTATACAGCTAAGGTTAGAATGATTGATCCCACGGAAATAAGTAATTTAGAAAAAAACTCAGTAATAGCACTGCATGCATTAACATACAACCACACAATTGGATGGGTGTGACATAGTCAAAATTCTAAAATGTAATATAGGTGGGTGGGGACCGAGAGAGATTGATTGCTGAATGCCGCCTGGTTCATCGAGTGAATCTACACCCAACACGTGCGACAGAAGTCACTCAACGCAAACACCAGAGATATGGAAGAAATTATTACCAGTCAAGTCGGAGAATAATAAATAATGTTAAAATGTATTCAATTCAAATTATAACATTCTAACAGGTTGTTTATTTTACTATAAAAACATCTTATTTCTCATCTTATTGTTTTTTACTGATAACACCAATAATACCTCCGAATTTTCATACATTTATTCCCCTTAATGAATTTGAACTAAGCAAGAAGTACAGTTTTAGCAGAATAAAATGGTACCATGTTTTATTTCGTTGCTTTCAGGATTTCCTCATGAGCTGACATTAGTTAGAGAACCATTGGAAAACCTGGGAGTACTGGACAGCTGTTTCGTTCTAGTTTGAGACTCTTCAGCAGTACGCACCCACCGGGGTTCGAACCCAGGACCTTCTGGTTACAAGGTGAGCTTGTATACCATTAAGCCACTGGGACCCGATCCAATGGTCCTTGAATTCCAACTTCTGCCAATTTATTTCGTTGCCTACTCGTCAGCTGCTTACATGGCAAAGACATTATTATTTTATCTTATATTGATTTTATTCAATCGAATGTCTAATCATCAATTTTTACGCATGTATATAAATGAGGCAAGAAAGTTCCGTGAGTGTCTTGATATGGTTATGAGTGGCAATAATTTGTGCTCGAAACGTCATCAGTAAATATTATTTTATAGCACCGTGTGAATTTACCAGAATAAAATTTTATCCATAGTGGAAATGTTTTAAAGTTCGGCGTTTTTAAGTGTCTCCCCAAGTTACTTTAAATTCACATTGGAAACATACAAACTGGCTTGTGATTATTACAATTAAAACAAAAAATGATTGGATGATGGGGTAACCTGAAAGTTTCAATATTTTTATGTTACGAAATGAGTGTATAAGAATATTTTATATAGACGCCGGTAAATAAGGGGACCTTTCAATTCCATTACTCAGAGAGGAACTAATAAAACTAATGAATCCTAGACAGACTGTCAGAATATATTATTTCTTTTGAATGAGAAAACGATGCTGTCTAAATCGATGAAAGTGGTGACCGCCTCCTAATTTCTTGTTATAATTAATTAATTAATAATCATAATAAATCTGTGCGTCGGTGGCACAGTGGTTAGGACTCTCGCCGACCATGCATATGGTCCGGGGTTCGAGCCCACGCCGACGCACACCTGATATCTATGGTCGGCCTGCGAAATTTGGGCTACCTATATCCACGCTGAAAATTCCATACTTGTACCAAAAATACGGTGTGGAATCAAGCTGTAATAAAAAAAATAGATATCCTTATCACTTATATCTTCTCTATGTTCACTCAAATCACTGTCTTCGCTGCTTCTTCCACTAGTTTGTTGGCTTTCACCTGCAGATCATCAAGTTTATCTAACACTTTACATAAGTCGTCCGCAAAGTCCATATTGTCTAGAGTCTTCTTGTCAGTTCGACATATTCCTGTCTTCCGCCTCCCCACAGTTTGCCGCATAATCCAGCCCGCCATTATTAGAAATATCATCAGTGTTAGTAAACAGTTTTTTCCTACTCCTGCCTTCGCTTCAAAGGCTTCGCTGAGACTTCTCTTGTAAACCACTTGAAATTCGACACCTTCAGATAGCTGCTGAATGAGGCTTATTAAGGTCTAGAGGACTCCGTAATGATATATATATATATATAGGTTTAAATCATGCTGTTGTACACTTCTAAATCGATCTATTTCAAGCACTCTAGTTGTAGTTGTGTTACACTTCAGTAGTCTGATCATTTGACAATGAAATACTTAACATGTTTCAACCTTTTGAGTAATATCACTCTGGTTAAATTACCCAGAGTATAGTAAAGCCTGATCACAGATAATACAATGATACCCTTATATCAATCAATCAAACATTTTTTTATCCGACGTTTACGACAGCTGTATATAGATACACACAATTATCTTACATTAGTACTTTTAGACTGTTTTGTGACTGTTTATCAAGATTAGTCTATCATTACTTGAATCAGTCAGTAGTGTGGTGAGAGCAGGCCGTGAGAAAATATGAGCAAGGCTGATTCAACAACCAATCACTGCAAAGTTAACGTGGCAAAATATGATTCGCAGATAGAGAACTCTATTTGTCGAGGAATCCCGAAACAACCAATCAGAAGCCTGCGTTTGTCTGCCTAACTTCTGATAAACAACCAATCAGATGACTGCGCTTGTCTATAATAATGTATGTGAAATATGTATAAATACGTGTTGATTTTCATAATAAAACGATCTGTTGCCTGGCCCTTGTCTTCTGTTGTTACATTTGGTGTCGCTACCTACCGACAAATGGAAAGCCTATGCCCTGCTGTTTTTGATGGAGACATATGGATCTTCGGGCAGGACTTCAAGGCTTCTGCGCAGTTGAGTGGCGTTCAAGATCTGTCAGCGATGGAGCTGCTACTTGGGACGCTGCTGGGAGGTCGGGTGAAAGCAGCATTTGAAAGTGTGAGACGAAATACTGACGAATGTTCGACAGGGTCAGGCAAACAGTTTCCAAAGTGGGAAGGACCACATATGGTCACTTCGAGATGGGATTACGCGGACACAATCGCAATGACGAACAATGAGAGGCGCGTGAACGTCAGCGAGCTCCAGAAATGGATACAGCGAGACAAGCCAACGATGACGCCTGCACCAAGTAGATCAAGCCGACTTCAGTCGCACGTATTTGACGGGGGGACGAGTGTGGTGAGAGCAGGCCGTGAGAAAATATGAGCAAGGCTGATTCAACAACCAATCACAGCGAAGTTAACGTGGCAAAATATGATTCGCAGATAGAGAACTCTATTTGTCGAGGAATCCCGAAACAACCAATCAGAAGCCTGCGTTTGTCTGCCTAACTTCTGATAAACAACCAATCAGATGACTGCGCTTGTCTATAATAATGTATGTGAAATATGTATAAATACGTGTTGATTTTCATAATAAAACGATCTGTTGCCTGGCCCTTGTCTTCTGTTGTTACAGTAGTACACATTGAACAGTATTCAATTTCACAGTCTTGTTAACATTAATGACACAATAAAAATTACATTTTACTTTGGATGCTTTCAGTTTCACGAGTAACAATGATGAAACTAAATTTCATCTAATCTGAAAACATCTGAACTGATTTGCTTGGATAAATATCACTAAACCTTCATCAATTTTATTACCGTGGGCTTAGATCCTTCAAGTATAGTTAACTGCCTATCTAGCTCACTTTTAACTGTGGTCTCATTTGTCTGTTATTGTTTTGCAGCGAAATATTTTGTTTATTTGTTGTATATCATCATAGCTGCAAGCTAAACCACATTTACTACAATTACAGACGAAAAAATAATCAGAACTCTCTTAAGCAAAGTCAAAACAGAAAACCGAAGTGATGGCCTAGTTAATCGGCATATATTTAAACATAAATCTTCAGAAGTAGATACTAACCACTGGACAAATTCCTTTTGTTTCGCTTTGATGTGTCAATTTCATTAATGAAACTTCTGCAAAACAACTAGATACAATAACGAAGGTTTGTACCTCAGATGAATGACATTAGTCTGGTTGTGTCCTCAGAGCTGGATAGCTAAATCGCCAAACTTTCATTATCTTTGTGGACAACACCTACAGCTCTGACTTTAGTATGAGTTTATTAGCAGTTTCTCCTGATAACTCTGAACGTGACTGTTTGTTTCCAGAGATTTCCTCGTCCTCTTGTCCACTTGTATTGCTACTGATTATCTTGCTGACCTGACAGTTGAATTTTAGTCCATTTGACTTCCTTTTTATTGTTGGATAAATCTGAACTCTGCCAATGTCTGCTGATTACCGATTCTTGTGAATAACACTCTTTTAAGAATTTCCTAGCACAAATATGTTGTCTAGATAGACTACGAAAGCCTCCTAAACAAAATGTCCAATTCATA